AAGAGATTACAAGAGCTGCTAGAGCCATACCGAAAACTCTTCCGAAGATTTCGAGGACTTCCGACTACTCCACTTAGCACTATATTACTAATACTAATGTATGAAGAGGAATTGAGCTTGCTTGAGTGTGTTGAGAGAGTGAATGAGCTCCTCCTTTTATAGGGCCGGTATGACGGTTGTAGAAACGCGAAATGTCGGTTTTGCCCTTGTAACTATCATTGGGAGAGCATCTAGAGCGTATGCGTGGAGGGCCGAGCTGAGCCGTCGCCACTAGGGTTCGGGCTGGCCCAGCAGGCCTCCAGCTTTAGTCAGGGCACTGATAGGTTGGTCCTTTAGGCGGTTGTGGCAGTTAAAGTCGGTTTCCAACGGTTACACCTGACTTGTGGGCCCATCTTATGCATTTGCATGCTTAGGAGTGAGGTTTCTTCACTTTCTCTTTATTTTATTTGATAAATTTATGCAACATGTTATTCTCCAAGTATAAGTGGAACTATATAATTTGAAAACAAACATGCATTGTAAGCATAGCTAGTTCTCCATTATTTTAGTTATATTGGCGGTCGAAATTTGCCTGTAACGACCGTCAACAATACTGTCATATCGGCTACTTTCATAATATTGTCTCAAATCAATCTATTAAACTTCACAGACAGTATTACAGCCGATTGGGCGTGTTTAGGGTTTATTATTCTTTGATATATCCAGTCCATAGCTGATTTGGTCCAACTCTATTGGATGAGACCATCAACGATACGCTATCGGCCTATCGGCTGATCGGCTATGGGTCGACTGATTCTGCTTTTATTCTTTCTTGCTGATTGCAGGATCAAATCAGCTGGTACGCCCTTGACACACTCAAGGCTAGCCTTGGACCTGCACTGAAGTTAAGCAGATCTCCTAGGCCGCCGTATTTTCACATAAACAGAGGGTGATACAACATATACATAATACATGTAGGCTGAATATCATGCCAACTCTAACAATTATTTATGAGATATTTTAGGCTGTGTTGCACAAATAAATGTGTTATCTGAAAATGAATCTTACAAAACATATATCGCTTAAGTCTTTCTACATGCATGAATTGCTAAAGAAGGAAGAAATCATAGTGAATGTCACCAAAACTAGTGAAAATCTTGTTGATTTATTTACTAAGTCTTTGTCAACTAGTATTTTTGAGATGCTTTGTACATGGCATCGGTTTGAGAAGGATGAGAGATGTTCACAAATTAGGAGAAGCAAATCCCTGAATGTGTCCCATTAATATTGGAATTGAACACCCGAAGGGATCAGATTAGTACCGACTGGTCCTATGATCGTGGGGATTCCAGTACCCTTCTACATCTCCTTTAAATGGTTTCCTTAGAGATAGAGTGGTCTTATACCAAATATACATGTATGTATCATAATAGGACTTTTATGAAATTATAGGTATATAAATACAGTAGAGGGGTTGAGGAAAAGAGAAAATTATAATAGAGAGAATACAATAATAAGATTGCCCCTCCATTTCCATGCGTTTCTGTTTTCGCGTCTATTGGATCACTTGTTGACAGTGGGCAATCTACCACTTTCAACCCCCGGCACCTCGGTAGAAAATTTCATAGGACAGCGGTCCTTCCCTTGTTCGTAAGACTTTGCCCATTCGCTTACACGTGTCTGGTTACAATCGTAAAGCAAACGTACCTTAATTTTCTTTATGTCATGTGGCCAATGTCGTTATCGTTGTCCAGTTGTCCCAAGCGTCGGAGAGACGAACCGACACGATTCGGCAGATGATCGTCCGTAGGGGTGGGCATTCGGTCTACCCGAAAAATTCGGTTCGGTTTCTCAGTCTTTTGAAAAATTCGGTCTTTCGAATCACAAGACCGATCGGTCTTCAAGGAAAATCAAGACCGAGCACTTCGGTCTTCGGTTAGTTCGGTTTGGTTTCGGTCATAGACCGAACAAACCATACGAACAGCAAAAAAATTAATCACAAAAAAAGTGCTCCATACAAGATGAATGAATCGAAGCAACTCAGACGAAGAACTACAATATGATGCCACTAGAAAATAGAGAATGATTCAGAAAAAAAAAGCAAATCAAAGCAAATCGATCTTGTCGTCGATCTCCATTTCTCCACCATTCCACTTGAAGCACCAAATCCCATCCATCTCGTCTCCCACCATTGTTGCCTCCCCGATGGAGACTGCTGCGGCCGACAGGATGGAGGAGGCTAGCCGGCGCGGTGGAGGGTGGAGGCGGCGCGGGCGCGGTGGAGGACGACGAAGGCGGCACGGGTGCGGTGGAGGGCGGAAGCGGCGCCGGCGCCGGCGGGCGGAGGCGGCGACAGCGCGGTGGAGGGCGGCGGCGGCCCGACGCGGTGAATGGCGGAGATGGAGGCAACGCCGGCGCGGTGGAGGGCGGCGGCGGCCCGACGCGGTGAAGGGCGGAGGCGGAGGCGGCGCCGACGCGGTGGAGGGCGGCGGCGGCGTCGGCGGCTCGGTGGAGGCGGAGGCGGCGTCGGCGGCTCGGTGGAGGTGGAGGCGGCGCGATGGAGGCGAGAGGATAGGGATGCGGCGCGACAGGAGGAGTGAGGTAGATGGTGGCTGGTAGGGTTGTATTAGGGTTAGTACTACTGGGCTTATTGGGCTCTAGGCCTATTGGGCCAAATTTTCAGTCAATTCGGTTAATTCGGTTAACCGAGCCCAATAACCGAATTAACCGAACTAAATTCGGTCTTTTGATGGCTGAGACTGAATAGGTGACCGAATTTCTCGGTCTCAGTTTTTTCGGTCTCGGTCTCGGTCTTTTCGGTTCGGTTCTTCGGTTCGGTCTAAATCTGCCCACTCCTAATCGTCCGGGTGCTGCCATCGTTCTGGTCGACTTGCGGCAAGCCACCGAGGCGGTGAATTAATATATATACAATGTACCGAGTAGATGCAGCTTCGATGATTTTGTTTGATCCCAGCCCAGCGAATCATCAACAACATCGTGAGGAAGATCTCCAAGTTAGGAGGATGTTGTTTGCTTCGGCCATCCAAGAATAGTTTGCACTCCTGTTACTTAAGCCATGTCATGCATCACTAGCTTCTCAATGTGTTTAGATAGATTTTGAAAATTAATAACATCCTAAATCACCAACACAGCAACACATCGAAATCCATGACACGGGCATGTTTGCATGTTAGCGTCGTTGCCGCTGCCACCGCCGCCGCAGTCGCCACTCAGGCAGATGCAGTCGTAGGCCACGACGGCTACCACCGGTTGTCGCCGTACTTGGTGCCTACCTCGTTGCCCAGGAATAGCGGAGATGTTTATTTAATTAACGGCATTAATTAATACTTCCTCCATACTCGTAAAAAAAGTCGTTTAGGACAATGTTTAAGTCAAACCTTGAGAATATAAATCATTTATAACTCTCAAGTTGTTGAGTTTTAAAATGTAAAAATTATATGAATAGATTTGTCTCGAAAAATACTTTCATAAAAGTATACATATATCACTTTTCAATAAATATTTTTATAGAAAAAAAAATCAAAGTTGTGTTTTTGAGACTGTGTCGCTGTCTAAAACGACTTCCTTTACGAGTACGAAGAGAGCAGTAGGATGAAATGATTACAAGGAAGGACACGTGTGGCACATTAGGCAAAGTCCTTCAGGGTGAGCGTAGGATGGAAGTCTTCCCAAATTTTCTTCCCAGCACCTGCGCCCCCGACTAGGGGTGGCAACGGGGCTGCACCCGCCGGGTTTAGCCACCCCGTCCCCGTCCCCGGTATGCAAGAAATCTCCCGTCCCCATCCCCATCCCCGCACACGGGGGAAGAATCTACCCCGTCCCCGTCCCCATGCGGGTGCGGGGCACCCGCCAGGTGTTCATCCCCGAAAATCAGACTTCAAAGGGAAAAGGCAAAGCAGAAGGAATACATCAATTTTGACATGCACCAACAATGATTAACCATTTAATCATCAGTATCGAGCAACAATACATGGGAAAGCACTGATGCATACGAGCACATCAAACTTAGGAGCAACAGCGGCAACTAATTTTCTTGGAGTCGATGATGGCAGCGGCATGGAGTCAGCGATGGCGCCGCTGCTTGGAGTCGACGACGGCGGCCTGGAGTAGGTGGCGACGGCGGCGCGCTGTGGTACCCCGACGTGGATGCGGCGACGCAGCGGCTAGGAGGAGGATGGGACGCGGCGCCGGCGCTGTGGTGGTCAGCTGGTCGCTGCTCCCTCCCGGTGTATCGATCTGGATCTGGGATATAGAGAAGAATGCTCCCTCCTCGTGTGATTGTAACTGACTTAGGGTTTTTACCTTTTATACTATACATATGCACATACAGAATGGGTTGGGCTTTTAGTTGATGGGCTATGGCCTGTAGGATAGATGGCTTTATATGTGTCATGTGCTGTACTTAGAGACCCACGGGGATTCGGGGACGGGGAGCTGGAGAATGTCCCCGTCCCCGCTCCACCCGACGGGGGATGTTTTCTACCGTTAATGTCCCCATGGGGGCTTATGTTGTCCCATTTAAAGCCCCTAACAGATGATTTCCCCGTCGGGGTTCGGGGTTCAGGGCCCCAATGCCATCCCTACCCCCGACGCTTGACCGCCTCCTCCTCCTCCTCCTTTTCGGTTTCCTTAGAGATAGAGTGGACTTATACCTAATATATGCAAATATACATGTGTGTATTATGGAATTCTGTGTATTATAACATAACTATGGAGAAACGCCCAGAGGTATTCCGGCTAGTCCCATAAAGTGGTGGACTAGACGATCTGGGTTCGAAGCTTTACTCTTTCTAATTATTTGATATTAGGTTCTTTCCTAATATTTGTATATAACATGACTCTACGTAATTATATGTATAAATACATTAGAGGGGTTAAGGAAAAAAGACAATTATAATAGAAAGAATACCCCCCACTTGCATGCGTTCCTGTTTTCGCGTCTGTTGGATCGATCATTCACAGCGGGCAATCTACCACTTTCAACCCACAGCACCCGTGCGCCCCGACGATTGACCACCGCGTACTCCCCTCCAAAATTTGTCCAAAAACCCCCCACAAACCCCCGCAAAAACTCCCCAAAATTTCGCATTCTCCCTCCAAACCCTCCACCTCGCCGCCCGCCTCCGCCGCGCCGCCGGCGGTACGGCATCCCAACCGAGAATGCCACCCTCCGACGACGGAGGAGACCCCTCCTTCCTCCCCATCCCCCTCCTCTCCCGCGTCACGACCCTCCCTCCGCCGGCCCCCTCCTCGCCGCCCCACCCCATCCCGCCGCTCTCCTTCCGCCACCTCTCCCCCTGCGCGCGGTGGTCCGCCTGGGTCACCGCCGCCCTCCGCGACCCCGCGTTCGCGCCGCTCCTCCGCTCCGCCGGCATCGCCGACGCCGTCGGGGCGTCCGCCGCCACCGTCAATCCCGACCGCGGCGCCCTAGCGGCGCTGCTCTCGTTCTGGGACCCGGCCTCCCACGCCTTCCGCCTCCCCGCCGGGGCCGCCACGTTCTCCCTCGAGGACGCGCTCCTCCTCGCCGGCCTGCCCCCGACCGGCGCCCCGCTGGACCGGCCCCTCACCCCCGAGGAGGACGACCTCCGAATCCGCCTCGTCATCGAGAAGGAGAAGATTCGGGAGCTCCACCCCTGCGCCCGCGACGCCCGCCGCGTGTCGGCGGAGTTGTGGCTCGAGTGGTTCGACAGCAGCATCCGCCCCGGCGAGGATGATGAGCTGCGGCGGCTTGGGTTCCTCGCATACTGGCTTGCTTTCTTCGTTACTCCGCGGCTGCGGCCAAGGAGCGGGGAGCTGCCGGATTGCACGTTTGCGCTCGCCGCTCGTCTTAGTCTTGGAGAGCGTATTGCCCTTGGCCCGGCAATGGTAGCGAATCTGTATGCCGATATGGATAGGATTGTTGCTTCTGGGGTAATGGAGGGGGTCAGCGGGCGTGTTGAAACCTGGGGCCCTCTCTTGCTTCTTCAGGTGTGGATATGGGAACGTTTCGACTGCTTGCGCCCACCGCCACTGAAGGCTCCACCGTTCCCTGTCTCGAATGCTCGAGTGCACCTTTGGAGCCGGAGGAAGAGGACAACCACATCGGAGGAGGCTCAACAGGTTTTCCAGGATGAGGCATGCTTTCTGTGGAGGCCATACCAGTACAACTCGCTGAACTGGACGCAACCTGAGTGGTTCAATGAGAAAACCACTACAGCGAGTTCGGAAAGTAAACATAAGCCAAAGTGGTTGGATGATTACAGTGCAATGATTACGCAAGCAGTGTTGACTGGATGGTTTGGTGATGGGATGGCCAATTCAGTAATGTATAATCCACACCTTGTTGCTAGGCAATTTGGTTATGATCAGGATTTTCCTGTATCTATTATACATGGTTCTGATTCCAGTGGAATTGAGGTTTGGGTACCAAGTATTGGTAGACATGGGGTTGCTAGCAAGGATTATGCTGCATGGTGGAATGCACGTTTCGAGAGGCATCAGGAAGGCAATCAACATGGTTGTGGGATGATGTTAAACAAGGAAAATAAGACGAGCGCATTGCCTCTGAATACAGGTCTGATAAGTGTGGTACAGATGGCTGTTGATCATTTTAGAAAAGGCACCAAGCAAGAGAACAGTAAATGCATGACAAAAAGGCAGTTAACACAACTGGGTAATGTTGCTCCCAACAACGAATGGAATCAAGTTGTCCTAGGCCTTAGTGCATATGATTTTGACCGTAGTCAAAATGCAGTGAAAAGAAAAGATGCCATTAAAAAAATACGAGATAAATCAACCGATGTGAATAGGAAGAAGAAGAAAAATAAGGTATTTGCTAATGAGGGCGGCGAGTGTCCCCAATTCTATGATTGGGTGCCGCTAACTGTGAGTAACAATGAAAATAATTCATTGCAACTTGATGTTCAGGAGCGCTCTGGACCACAGGAAGATTCCAACTCTTCTAGTAAGAGATGTGATGAACTGGCACAACTTAATAATGATGAATGTATTGTTCTTGAACCACCTGCTAAGAATTGTGAAGTAATAAATCTTGACGATGAGGAGGAACAAAGTGTCCCTAATCCCAAACATCATGATAGGCAGCTTGTACTTGAGCTAGAAGAGTTTGTGCGCTCTGGGCTTCTGTCACAACGCGAGGAATGTTCTGATGAGGATGAGGAAGATAGAAGAAACCGAGATATACTGAAGGATAATAAAGATGACCCTTTTTCTGAAGCAGCCAGGAGGGAATACCCTCTGTTCTTTGAGTTCATTCCGCAGAAACCACATTACCGAGGGTTGCTGAACAATGATGAAGCTCTAGGAGATCTAGCCTACAGTGGACTATGGTTTTTGCTGGTTGGTTTAGCTAAGGAGGTGCTCAAGACATCATGTGATACAGATGCTTCTGAGATTGTTTGTTTGATGAAAAAGGCTCAGGAATTGGAGCAACTAGGGTTCAATGTGAAACATCTCATTGCCCGCTTGAAGGAGCCACAAAGCCGTCTTAGGCTGCTTCAAGATTCTATTACAAGGCTTGAGGATGCTCGGAAAAAAGAGCATGAAGCAAACAGGTTACAATCACTGTCAAGCCATCTGAGTAAACTGAAACACAATATACAAACAATGGAGTGGCATTTGGACGCAAAGAATCAAGCTTCTAGTTCATCTATATTCAGTTTAGAGAAGGAAGTAGAAGCTGCTGAAAAATATTGTCAGGCAATGAAGGATGAAGTGGTTGCATTGAAAATGAATCATTCAAACCTTTGACCATGGAGCTATGGGTTGCTCTAGCATCGATTGTATGAATGAAATGGATGCTTCCTGATGTAGATTGTAGAGTTTTTCAAGTCCATCTGTGGAATATGGGCCTTCAGAAAATACTATTAATATTTTCCTAACCATCTATCAAATACTTTGCACCAGTTATTTTTTTACTTTCAACACTCACAAGTTATTTTATACAACTATGGTGCAATACGTACCAATTTGCCAATGCTATGCTCAGAACTATAACAAAGACAGGTTTTTCTGCAATAAAAAAAGGTCGTGTCTAATCTTATTAAAACATAAACTAATTTTTTGTTGTTTCCATTCTGGGCAGATTGGTTAGACTAAAAAGATTATTTCCAGGCCCTGAAGGCCAAAGCCACCTATGCTCACTATCCAACTACATGTATATATTTATTAAAAATGGAAATAACTGTATTTGGACTTTGGGGTACTCATAATCGAAACTTTCCATTAGGTTATGAGTTATAATCAGTCGAATTGGCTGTAACTGTAAGGTGTTCTATCAACAGTAGCATTGGTCTTCATAAGGTACTATTTATATTTAGTACAGATTCAATTTCTTAGTGCAACATTATCATTATTTTTGGTTCAATTATTGCAATTTCAGTTAATTTCCTTGTCAGCTTCTCAACCTTTGGTCCATGCATGTATTGGTCTATGTAAGCCTTGGCTCATTCTTGCTTTTTCCCTGCCCTCCTTCCCACACCGGAGATTTCATAATTAGAGCTGGAAGCCACCGGAGAGCCTTCTGTCATCCATATTGTGGAAAATCACAGCTTCCTCCTTCCTGTTGCACACTTGGATGTGCTTACGCATCACCCTTTTCTTCATGTGCTTTTCTCCTCTTGCATTGTGCTGCTGCTGTGCATGCGCATGATGGCCATCCAGACCTCCTGTTCTTCTGGCTAGATCATGGTGAGCAAGTGCAACTGGTAGCAGGTGGCAGGGATCTAACTTCCAGAGCCACTAATTGGGCACAGGTATGTATTGCTATCTGATTCTTAAAACTCACTCTGGTAGATTCCAAAACCAACTTATTTTTTGAATTAGGGTTCTAGCTTGTTGCAAATTAGACAAGCAAAATCTAGTTCAACACTTGTTTACAACTGTTTGCTTTTGGCTCCTAAACATACAAATCTGTACTTTTGGATGGCAGGATAGATTAAGAGACTTTATATTGGTTGTCTCTCAATTACAATACAAACCTGTCACATTAGTTGGGATGAACAGTTGGTTCTGATTTACTCTCTCCGGTACCATAAATCTAGATGTTTTGGACAATATTGAGGTCAAACTTTTATAACTTTGATTATCAATAACTTTAAAAAAATTTAGTTTAAAGGAACTAGAACAACATATATAGATTTGTCTTACAAAGTATTCCCTCTATCCTAGTTTGATCATAACCTAAGATTTTTGAAGTTTTCTCAAAATGATCATCATCTAACAAAGTCTATTTATTTGTTTAAAGAGTAAATGTGCATCGCGGAATGCCCTGCATGCATGCAACTGTACGCATGCGGCCAACCAAGATTAACTTCTATTGGTTCAACCCATGCAGCATTTAAAGCGTGAATTAATTTTTGTTGGACACGAGGCGACAGAGCACCTTGATCGATGAGGATTAATTTTCGAGGATGAGTACTTTCTATTCAGGTAAGCTAAACACTAGTCTGTATGCAGTTTAAGACTGACTTTGTTCCACTTCATTTTGTGTTTAAGTACTCCCTCTGTTCTTCTCTACATGCCATTTCAGGATGTTGGTTTTGCCTTTGAATGGATATCGTTTTAGGTTTCGCAGGTAGTTTGTTCGCAATTTACCTATATTGAAAGTACTTGACCATATTGATGATACTACTCAAATTAACTCATTTGATTCTAACAAATCTAACATGTTTCAAATGGCTTTGGCTGAGGAGGCCTTGATTCTGGCTGCTTGAACAATCCTACTCGGCCATGCAGCAATGTGCCCTTTTGTTTCGTGTGCTCCGGTAATGGGATTGGATAATTGGAAAGGACTGGCCTCAGTAATTAGAGATAATAATATTAATTAGGAGTAAGGAAGTCTGTGTCTGATCTGGTAGAGTAACATAATTAATACTCTGTTTGGCCCAAAACGACATCTAATCCTAAACTGGGGAATTATCAGTTACCTGAGCACATGAAAATGTGATATTAGCAGTTTTTAAACTGATATTGCAAGAACCCCTGTATAGTTTATTCATTGGCCATTTTCAGTATCTTGATATTAGCTACCAGCCAGGAATACGATTACTTTCACTTACTATCTTTGAATTAGAAATTTAGAATGAAGGTTCTCTGCTCTATAAAAGCAAAGTTTCCTTTTGATTTGGGTTGTGATGAACTTTAGGTTAGACAGAAAGTCATTATGCATATGCTATGTGGGGAATTGCATACAGCAAACGCGGGAAGAAGCAGAACGAGGCATCGGCACAATAGGCACGCTCTGTTCGACCAAAATGAACCAGCGCAGACATCGTGATTGGTTCGCTCAATTCCAGGATGCTCCAGATTAGTTTATTTCAGTTTTATCCCTTCCAAAAGTCTGGTTTGTTTCAAAGATTAGATCAATGTAAAGGTGGCATCCTATAGAAGTATGGGGGCATTTCCTATTCAAATCAAGCAAGAATCAGGTTATATTCTTCCTCCCTGTTCTTCAGTTCTTTCTGTCACCATCCACCAGCAGCACGGCTCTGGGGAGGCGAGGCTTGGGACCATATGTCCTCCCCTAGAGCATATGTGGTGAGTGATGTAAATAAGCAAATATGACTAGGACCTCCATGGCAATTCTTTTTCCTTAATTTTTCTCCATTGCTGTAGTCCTTTCATTTTGTTTCAATTATTGCATATTGTTTTAATTAATTGAACAATTATTGTATATTAGTCAGGTTTATGATAAGTTGGAAGTAGTATTTGTGTTCCAAAACCGCAGAGTTATAACAACTTGACGGAAGCGTGTGTTAGGGACACCAATGGTGGTGGTTACAGGCTTACAGCAGACTGAAGACTAGGGATGTGCTGCCTGGTGGATCAGCTGCGCTGAGGGCAGAAGCCACAATCTGAGATCAACCTGGTGACCTGTATCGTATGGTGCCTTCCTAGTTTTCCTAACTATGGTCTCATTGTTGCAGCTGGGGATGATCTTGCCACACTTTCTGGATTTTGGCCAAAAAAAATCATGATTGAAATCTGGAAATTTTGGGTCATCTCCATTGGATCCATTACAAGTGATTTCCCTAATGCCAGACATACTCAATACAACTTATTTAATTGGCAACAGTGGTGCGATGACAGCCACTGTAATTCATGAAGCACCACATACATAATCCAAACCTAGATGTACAAAACATCATGACAATAATGTTTCAGATAAATGTTGTTTCTTTTGTTTGTTTGTCTACATATCCTTTGCTGATTTCTTATACAGCGTAGGACAGAAGTTCTATTATCCATTTTTATTATCTTTGCTAACATAAAAAGGTAGCGCCTTATCCTTTGATTACAATATGTTTTCAACCATAACGTTGCGTATCTAGCTCAAGATACTGATGTTATCCATGTACTTACAATTTTCTTTTTTACCTTTTTGCTTCCCAATTGATAGATAGGAAGCATATTCACTTCATTTGGATTTCAGTATTTTATGATTTTGTCCAAGGAGGCACAGACAATATGATGTTACTGTTGTAGCTCTGGCCTAGAGATACATTTGACCTGTTGCATGCTGTCAAAATTCAAGCGTCAAGATTAATAGAAAAGATGTTTGTTAGGCCAGCAGTACCATCCCTTTCATGGCAACATATCCTATGCACACAGGCCCTCACGTGTACACACGTGCACACCAACTAAAAAATGTCACCAAAAAATCTAGAAAAAATCATACACATACTTTCAATTGTATTACACCTAGGGTTAAAATCTTAACGTCAAATTCATTATATTTTAGCCGTAACAAAAAAAACAAAAAATCTGACAGTTCTAAGGTTGTAATTTTGTCAGAATTTTATCTTTTTTGTTATTCTCTATGTAGAATGAATTTGAAGATGCGACTTTGCACGTAGATGTAATACTATTGAAAGTACATGTATGAATTTTCTTAGAATTTTTTGTGATAATTTTTAGTTGGTGTACACGGTGTGTACACGCGAAGGTCTGTGTGTATATGATACGCTCCCCCCTTTCATAGTCTTCTATTTGTTGATGTACTGAATCTGGTTTAACTGAACTGAGCTGAGTTCGGATGGGGGAGATGGGAACCCAACTTCTGCGCACGGAAAACGGAGCAGTCCATTAACGCGTGATTAATTAAGTATTAGCTATTTTTTTTTTCAAAAATGGATTAATTTGATTTTTTTAAGCAACTTTCGTATAGAAACTTTTTTTAAAAAAACGCACCGTTTAGCAGTTTGAAAAGCGTGCACGCGGAAAACGAGGGAGAGGGGATGGGAAAAGGTGCATGCTAACACAGCCTCAAAGGCTGTTTACAAGTGGTGAACTGGAGCAGGTAGCGTCTTGCAATCATGAACTCTTTTTGCTTACACAGTTTTGTACATACTTTATTCTCTACTACTATTTGAACTTGAACTTGTGTTTTGTACTATTATTCCAGTAAAGCATCTGCTTGGCATTTAGGAATTCGATGGATGAAGTGCACCCTGAGCCAGAGCAACTTAACAAATAAACAGCTCCATGACCACAGCGACGAGAAAAAAGCCTTCAAAGTGATCTTCGAGTGGATGTGTGATGGGGATCTTGAATATGGTCCTCGCTGGTCATCTCCCATTAAAAGGACCATGAAAATATTCAAGGACAGGAAGGTGGCTGAGCCATGAATTGGTTAATGTCGTTTACTCACTTGTATCTGACCTTTAGACAACTTTTTAGTTGTTGATTTCTTGATTATAAGTTTGTTGGCTCAACTCTTCACCACTTTGAAAAATATTACCCATTCCTCCCATCTCGCAGACATGTCTGTGAAAATTAAGGAATGTATCAAATGACTATTTTGCCCTTTAATTCTTTCCACTCTCCCATCTCGCAGCTGCTCCAGCGCTCCATGCCGCACGCTGGCGCCGGCGCTGGGTCGGGAGCGCAGATGGCCAGCGTGGCTGTGGAGGATGGCTGGGTTCTTATTATTTTTTTGTTTTCAAGATTAATTTTGATTTCGCATTTGATCTGAAGTTCGATCCTCTTAACAGTGTTAATCTAGTTACTTTGAAGAGTGCTAACCATTTGAATTTAACCATGTATCTAATATAAATATTTGTTTAACAGTTTAGCTGGTGTGGAGACGTGTGATGGCTACCTGAGTTTAGGCGTCATAAACGACATAAAACGTGTCACTATATTCAGTTGAGGACCTGCAAGTTTTTGCTGGGTCGCCACTAAACTGTAAAAACGAAACAAAAGAAAGTAAGCAAATAATAATACTAGAAGTAGTAGTAATAGAACTGGCATTGGCTCTTTATGCAACCCACAAGGCTAGAAGCAGAAAATAGGGTGGATAGGGAGAAAACTGTGACTAAAAATTAAAGTACATTGCATTGGTGGTATATGGACTTTTTAGATGGATGCAATCTGGTACATGAATTTGTAAAATGTTCGTTTTGTTGCATGAAATTGTGTAGTGCATGCAAACTAAGAAAAAAATGATACTGCAGGGCTAATCTTGTTGATTTAAGTGTTGGTTAGGATATTACGTCAATATATATTTGAGAAGGTTGCTATTTACATATACATCTATATCTAATAAAAAATACATAAAGCTTCCGGGTGATATTTTGGTCTGTCTTTTTCTCACCGTTTTTTCGCGTATTTCGCCTTTTTTTGGGTTTATTTTATCCGCTTTTTTTCATCGTCATTTTTTTTGAACCGGACCAAAGGTAGTGCTTCCACCACTTCAATATGACTTCCATGCTTTTCCTTCAATAAAAATTGATTCCTTACTACTCCCTCGTCATTTTACCTATGATTTCCCCTCTCAATTCAAATTTAATTCATCGGATTTATTCTTCATCTAACCGTCACTATTTTTATCCTGAGTTTTATCGATTCGCTATGATTTTGATAAAAACAAAAAGAGAAGATCGAGTGGATCACAATCCATCTAACAGTCACTGTTTTTATCCCAAGTTTTATGGATTTGCTATGATTTTGATAAAAACGGAAAACCAATTTTGGGATATCGATGGATTTACTGTAATTTTGATAAAAACAAAAAGAGGAGATCGAGTGGATCACAGTCCCTCAACCAATTTTGGAGATCGAGAAATATTCAATTGTAAAATTTTGAGATCGAGAAATATTCTATCGTAATTGATGGGAGGATTGGCTCCGACATCGTATGTGCACGGGCTTGTGGTTTGAGCCGAAGAGAGACCAATTTTGGGAGATCAAGAAATATTTTATCGTAATTGATGGGAGGATCGGCTCCAACATCGCATGTGCACGGTAAGACATGGAATTATTGAGGTGAGGAACGACTTCGACATCGTATGTGCACGGGAATGTCTTTCGTAGGTTGAAGATGACAGTCGCTAGACCTGTAGCTCCACTTGTGGTTTGAGCCGAAGAGAGATAGTGAACTGGGTTGGGCTGAAAAAGGTCTGAGCAAAGGGACATATCGAACTGGGTTGAAAATAGTCGAGTAGAGGGAAATATCGGACTGGGTTGGGCTGAAAATAAAGTAATAGATGGGCTTGATCAAATGATGGGAGCAAGAAACAGGTCAAGCAGACGGAAATATTGGACTGGATTGGGCTGAAAAAGGTTGAGCAAGCAGAAATATCGGACTGGATTGGACTGAAAATAAAGGGAGAGATGGGCTCGATCGAATGATGGGAGGAAGAGAAAGGTCGAGCAGAGGAAAGTATCGGACTGGGTTAACGATGGGAGGAAGAGAAAGGTTGAGTAGAGGAAAATATGGAACTGGGTTCGGCTGAAAAAGGTCGAGCAAAAGGAAATATCGGACTATATTGGGTTGAAAAAGGAAGGGATGAGACGGACTGGGTTGTGCTTAAAAAAGAAGGAAGAGATGGGTATTGATGGACAATAGTCGGGGAAAATATCGCGGGTTGGGTTGAAAAAGAAGGAAGAGATGGGTATTAATATCGGACTAGATTGGGTTGAAAAAGGAAGGGATGAGACGGACTGGGTTGTGCTTAAAAAAGAAGGAAGAGATGGGTATTGATGGACAATAGTCGGGGAAAATATCGCGGGTTGGGTTGAAAAAGAAGGAAGAGATGGGTATTGATGGACGTAGTCGGGCCTGGAGGGGAGGAAGAGAAAGGTTGAGTAGAGGAAAATATCGAACTGGGTTCGGCTGAAAAAGGTCGAGCAAAAGGAAATATCGGACTAGATTGGGTTGAAAAAGGAAGGAATGAGACGGACTGGGTTGTGCTTAAAAAAGAAGGAAGAGATGGGTATTGATGGACAATAGTCAGCGAAAATATCGCGGGTTGGGTTGAAAAAGAAGGAAGAGATGGGTATTGATGGACGTAGTCGGGCCTGCAGCTCCAGGTTTGAACCGAAGTCGAACAAATGGAAATAGTCGGGCCAGTAGCTCCAGGTTTGAACCGAAGTCGAACAAAGGGAAATATCAGCCGAAGAGAGAAGTCGAGCAAAGGGAAATATCGGACTGGGTTGGGCCCGATGAGATGAGCTTTCGGCCCAAAGCCTAGGTAGGGACCGATGAGATGAGCTTTCGGCCCAAAGCCTGGGTAGGGACCGATGAGATGAGCTTTCGGCCCGATGAGGCCCAAAGGGAAATATTGGATTGGGTTGGGCTCAATGAGATGAGCTTTCGGCTCAAAGCCTGGGTTGGGGCCGATGGGATGAGCTTTCGACCCAAAACCTAAAAGAAGTATAATATATAGCGATCCACAAACATTTTCACCCGTTGCAACGCACAGGCATTTTCTCTAGTATGTTCAATAAAAAGATAGATCGAGACATAATGATTATAGAAAAATATATGAAAACCATTTAACAAGAGATAGAAACATAGGAAATTCATCATTTTAATGATGATGAAAAGTAGAAACAAAGTTTATAAATATAGCATATCTTATGCGTACTCACCACTTGTGCATGCTATATCCTAATCAAAATCAACTTTGAAGGATCAACTTTGCCAAGCCATTTTGATTGTGATTCATACGAATTAGATAAGTTCATGTACCAAAATAAGTACTTCACAAGTTTAGTTTATGTACTAAACTACACCCAACAAACAAATTTATATACTAAATTACACCCAACAAACAAGTTTATGTATTAAATTACACCCACCAAATAAGTTTGTGTACCACCAATACAATTTACTCCTGAAAATAACTGAAAACAGAACCAAATTGCTTCTTAAAATGGAACATTTTGTTCTGGAACTGTCTCATGGTCTCATCATCTTGTAGGACATTTAAACTTATTATTATTGCATACACTTCTATCATTAATGGTGTACTGAAGATATCAAGATACTACTTGAACGAGTTCTCAATGTCGATTACAAAGCGAAATCTGACATCCCGGTCAACAAGCCTCTGAAGAGCCTCGTTGATGTAATCTATCTTGATCATCTCGATATCTGGGTAGATTTTGTTTGCCGCACAGAAGTTTATCATCTCCTGGATGTCCTTCGTACCTCCAGTTACACTACCAGATAAACTCCGCCCACCTACATGAGTCCAGATTAGTTGTAATTAATTAATTTTCTCCCCATCCTAGCAGACAGATATATTTCCTCTCTGGAAAAAGCCATATATATTTTGGTATGAGAAACGTGCATTACCGAGATTAAGGTTTGCAGGATGCACTTTGATTTCACTTGGGAAGCTAAGTAGTGCCATTACACCACCAACTTTCAGAAGCGTGAGATAAGGATCGAATGGGTGATCGCCGGAGGCTGTGTCAATAATGAAGTTCAGAGAGCTTTTCAAGGTCTGCAACAATGAAGAATCTGTCATTACCACTTTCAGTACGTAAGATAAATGAGAAGTACAGGTTAGCTATCTTTACCAAATGGCATTTGACTGATAAGACTCATGGTATGGTCATAGTAGATAACTGTGAACAATGGGGTAAAACATAATGTAGAATGTGTATTACCTCCATCTGATTTTCATCCGATGACACCACGAAATTATCTGCACCAAGAAGGTCAATAGCTTCTTTTCTCTTTGATTCACTAGTACTAATAACTGTGACTTTCAGTCCAAAGGCTTTCCCAAATTTTACTGCCATGTGACCCAAGCCACCAAGTCCAATGACGCCGAGTGACTTCCCTGGCTGGTTCATATTATGCCGCATCATCGGACTATATACAGTGATGCCAGCACAAAGTAAAGGTGCTGCCTTTTCCAAAGGGTAGCCATCAGGTATTTTAAAGCAATACCTGCCATTCCAAAGGAAGATGCAATTTTCTCATAGGTTCTTTTTTGAATTAAGTAAACAGGAATAACTAATAGCTGCTATATTCATAAGAGAGACATTAGCAGAACATCATGGGATTTGTTTCCTATATAAAATTTACATAGCAGAATGTAGGATGATTTTGTGACAACATTGTTGAGCAACCATTAGAAATAAGTATATGAAATTTTTCGTTGTCTTGTCAGAAAACTTTCAGAAGAAAACATGGTCAAAATCCATACCTCTCATGTACTACTATGTGAGTAGAATATCCTCCCTTTGTGACAGTCCCATCAGTGTCAACACCATTGAAAGTGAAGACATGTTGTGAGCAGTAGTTCTCTAGAGAGCTATTGCAGTTCTCACAGTCCCGGCATGAATTCACGTATGTGCCAACACCTACATGGTCACCCACTTTGAAGCTCTTGACGTCTGCACCAACCTCAGTTACAACTCCTGCTATCTCATGCCTACTCATATTGAAATTTAGACACAATTTCATGAACTTTTATCTTTACAACAAATACAGTAGCTAAATGGATGAATTTATAGTCTGTAACAGAAGTTTATTCTTTTCCATACTTTTGTTAAAATTCAAGTAACAAAGTTAATAATTTTACCCAGGGACTAAAGGGTACATCGAATTGTTGAGTATATTCCTTGTCCATGCAACATCAGCATAACAAACACCACAGTGTGTGATCCTCAAGGAAACATCGTCACTTTGTACAGCCCTGGTAATAATAAACCAGGTTATTAACAATTCATAAGAATAGGTACTAAAAATGGAAAAGATCATTTTAAAATCTTGTCTGTGAGTAGTTAATCACAACATTCAGCAAAGTACTATAGAGATTTTGTAATCCAGTTTATCATGTTGCGCAAAAGTTAGAAAATTCAAAACAGGTAACTTGACAAGTTCACATTCTTGTTCCAGATAAGCACACAGCTAACTGAAACTGCAATCGTGATGATTCTAGTTGCCAGAATAGTGCATTCTGCAGTTAGAGAAAACACTTGGAAACAAGGAAGATTTCTTAACAGTGCTGGAAAGACATTCATATCAAGAAAATAAAAAGGAAAATCAATACACAAGGGAGTGTAGTGTGATTTAACCTGCGGTTGAACTTGTACGGGGAGAGGATCCCTGAAGGATCTCTCGCTGCCCAAGCATCACAGTTGCCACTTCCACATTCAGCAGCCATGCCACTCTAACTGCAGATAGAAAAAAATCAACTCAGATGAACCCATAATGCCATAAATCCATCATAATCTTATACCCCTGATACTTATATCAGCAATGAACAATGTCAAAAACAACAAAAAGAAAAACCAGTAGTTTAAAATGCAGGAAAATGAATCCAGTCATCTATTCGTTTTGAAATGAAGAGATTAGAGGTTCAGGACCAGGACAGGACAGGACAGGACCAATCCAACTGACTATTTTGATCAGAAGCCGCCGGTCAGCACCACACTGTCGACGCTGCTGGGGCAAGGGAGTTTTGCAAGCTTAGTCTGGATCGGGAGTCGCTATGTGGATCTCTGAGGAGACGGAGATGGAGGTTGGAGATGGGAATCTGTGGGCGGGGAATTTGAGAAGGAATCCACCTCTTCTCCAGTTCTCCTTTGTAACGCACGTGTCATGTGTTAGGCCCCATCTCTGCTCCTTGTACTCTATAATATCCAATTTATACTTCCACAGTTTGTGAAACCCAATCAATAACCAGAAATACTGATCCAGTTTTATACACTAGAACCCCATCAACTTCCATCAACATTCTTGAGAGTTTCAGAACATGGTATAACATGAAATTTAATTTACTTCTTCTGGCAGCTACAGAAACTGAATTCGTACCACTGGACAGGGGCGGATTCAGCTTTTTGGGGAACAAACAAACTGTCACTTGTATTAAGATTAAGGCTCTGAAATTAAGAGAAGAGCTTCTTCCAAACCTAGAACAGAAGCTAGGGTTAACGCAAGCAAATTCCAGACAGAAGTACTCCCGGTGGGAGAGAGATGAGTCAGGAAGAGGATGTGGATGCTCACCAAGATCCCTTCCCCTCCCCTGCTCTGCTCGCCAGATGGGAGATCGCCGCCTCTCCGCTGTTGAGCCGCGACTCGTCTTGGCGCAAGGAGCGGAGGAGACGACGACACGGAAGATTTTCCTTTACGGCCCTGTTTTGGTTGGAGGTAGTTTTTGAGGAGTGATTAGGTGTTTAGAACTTTAGATGGATAAGTTATCTGTTTTGTTTGTTTTGTTTAGTTGGAAAACACGATAATTTTAATGAGATGGGAATGGAGAATTGAGTAAGGAACACCTCTTTCAATACGTGGATAGGGGGAATTCCTCCTTTAATTTGCATAAACAAATCTCAGCCATCCGTTTTTATTAATGACATAATCTCCAACGAAACTCCCTGTCAATTTCCGCCATATTTACTAAACAAGATATTAGGACTAAAAATCAAATTTCCATCTTAATCTCACTAATAATTCTCTCGTGTAAACTCTCAATACTCCACTTTTTACTCAACTAGGAAGAAAGCCCACGTGGATGCCGTTAGGGATGAAAACTATCAGAAATGGTCGGAAACGATATCATTATTTTATTATTTTTTCGAAAACGAACCGAAACGGTCGGAAAATTTTAATGTTTACGAATTCATATATTTAGTGTTAACTTCAATGCCACGCTGATAGAAATTAGAAAAAAACTAAATTTTGAAAATGGTAGCCATTGGTAAAAATATTATTATTATATTAGATTTCCGAAAACGGTATCGGTATGGTCGGGAAATTTCAATATCGTTTTCACCCCTTGATGCCGGGCATCTTATTTACTGTTTTATGAAATAATGTTAAAAGATATCATATCTCACCATTTGTAAGCTGTGAGATAGACCGTAGACTTTAATATACTTAACAATGTATGTTAGACTAAAATAATCATTTTGTCCCAGTTAGGGGTGAAAACGGTACGGAAACTTTCCGGATTCCGGACCTATTTTCGGAAACGGAATCTGTCGGTCAGAATTTTTTCGGATTTTTCGGAAACGGAAACGAATTCGAAAATATTTTCTCGGAAACGGAATCGGAAATGATAAGGGCAGTTTCCGTCGGAACTCGGAAATGGTCGGAAACTTTCTGGAAATGTTCTCGGAGTTTCCGGAAATTTTCTCGGAATTACCAAAAAATTTGTGACTGAAATACCTTGGATTCGTTTTTTAAGCACTAATTAGCGAATACCATAGTGTTTGGCTATTATTTTGTTAAAAAAATATTTGTTATGCAAATCTAAAATTACATAATAATTTTTTGTCTTACATTGGGATTTATCAACAACATTACTCTTTTAAACATAGATAATTTATTCAATTGGATTTATCAGTTTGAGGGGTTTTTTATTCCGATAAATTTTCGTTGCCGTATTCGTGCCGGTTCGTTTTCGCTCCGTTTTCGGTTTCGATAATATTCGATTCCGTTTTCGTATCCTGATGTGACCATGACTACTACGGACACAACCATTGCTCACATCATGGATGAACAGCACGATATCAAGTTCAAGTCCTCCAAGTGCTAGAATCCGATTCGGCCACCTGCTACATTGCTGATTTCAAACGGCCGCCGAATCTGCAAACGACCTCCGTTTTTGGCCCATGAGTACTCGATGGAAAGCTCTCGGAGGCCTCTTTCCAACGGATCCAGCCTCATCTCCGAATTCCATCTCATGTGGCCAGAATCACAGGCACAAGGTGCTGCGTCACCTATAATGGGCCTATGGGCTTGTAACTTCATTTGGGACCTCGGCCCAGGTGGGGCCCATGTGGGGTGTGCCCCAACCAGGTGGAGCACGACCCTAGGCACCCCTAGGTCGTCCTCCCACCCCTATATATAGCTAGGTACCCCTTCAGGGTTTCTTGGGTTTTGATAAATTAAAGTTTAGCCATTGCTACTTGTTTGCAGCGCGCGTGTCGGCTAGACCGTCCGTCTGCTTGTTCTTCGGAACCCAACTTATCATTTGTATTAAATTCCTATTTGCAATATCAGATTGCTTTTATCTTGTTCTTACTTGTTTCTTCGATTTGCTTGCAGGAATAGGGTTGATCTGCACCGGCAAGATCAACAACCCACGGAGAGGTGTATCGATCGCTAAGGCGCAACACAACGTCTCGTACGGTTGTAGTCGGATCGTCAACGTTTTTCCCAAATCGTAGTTATCACAACTCACCGAAAGATCGGGCCAACAACAACCTTGAGTGTCGAGAGGAACTCAGGGTTCATCAGGTGGTATCAGAGCTTTCGTTGCTCGGTGAGTTTTTATCTACCCATAACCAGAAAATAGCCATACAAAAAAATTTGCATCATTTACCTAGCCATATTTGTGCCATTGCATTGTTCATTTCAGTTTTTGCTTTGTTGAGTTTGAGTTGCATCGTCTAGTCATGTTGCTGGTCTTAGCGTTTAGTCCGTTTAGAGTTTCGAGTTATGGTCACGTTTAGTACCACTGTCGCCGCTGCTGTCGTGTCTTTGTTATCGTCGGGACCTAAAAAACGGAATCGTCTTTCCGCCCGGGTTCCATTTTTCTAGTTTTCGGATGTTTTTGTTGGTCAAGTTTGGAGTTGCACCTAGGTTTCTGTCATGTGCCGTGTGGTTCTGCCATGTGCCGTGGTCATGTCCGTGCTGTTGCGCACAAGGAAGATGTGTGAGAAAGATGGAAGGAGGAGATTAGATTAGATTGTTATTTGTTGGGTTTGGAAAGAAAATAGTAGATTGGATCAGTTTTCCTTTTATTTTTCTCTAGATCCGGACTCTATCCTTCCACCACTGCCCACCACTACCGCTACAGGGTCGAGTCCGACTCCCTCCCTCTCTACTCTCAGTTTCAACACATACCGTGATCTTGCATACTGCTTGGTGAAAATTTTTCGAGTATCGGATTGAAAATCCATTTGCAAAAATGGAACCTACAGGACGAGAGGATTCCATTTTTGTATAGTTCTAATTTTGGGTTTGAACTTTTACATTTGAGTCCCTGTAAATTTTGTATTTACGTTTGAGTCCCTGTAATCTTACATTGAGGTCCTTAAATCTGTTTTTGTAAAATAAAATCAAAAAAAAAAGAAAGAAAAAAAAAGGCAGAAAGGTGCATAAAAAAAGAAAAGAAAAGCCGCCCCCAAAAAAAAAGAAAAGAAAAGGAAAGGAAAGAAAAAAAAAGAGAAAGAAGAAAGAAAGAAAAGAGAAAATATTGTTATGTTTGAGCTGAACTTCATATATCGATCAGAGTTGTGCATGAGTTGTTCCTAGTGCTATCTTATGGTATCGTTTGTGTCTAGGCTCGCGTCTCTAGTACGTTCTAGCCTAGGACCAGCACGGTGCTTGACTTCGAACAATTATTCAACTTTGCATTCTCTGATTTGAGCATTTGCTATTCATTTGCTACATATTTAAGCCTACCTAGAGCTCCACAGATTTGATTGCAGCCGTACAGCAGGTGTTCGCGAAGGCATCGATACATCCAACCTCCATTGGGGTGCTTGGTTGAGTCGGTGTATGTCACCATTCCGCTTGTATTGGTAAGATCTTGTAAGAGCTTGGTTAAAAGCTTGGGTGTGTGTGATTTTTGAGCTGCCACTACTTAGTAGTTAATAGGAACGCGCATATTTTTGTGTATGTTTCTTATTTTCTACTAACAATGGCAGGGATACGCAAGATAATTGGGATAGCTGTGCTCAACATCGACATCTTCGTCGAGACATGAGGAGTGATCAACATGACCTTTATGAGGTAAGTGACGATGTTCTAGGTAAGATCAAATCTGCACTGCCTTATTTCGAGGGAAACTATGATCCTCATGCTTACATTAATTGGGAGCTAGCGGTTGATAGTGAATTTCAAAAGCATGTGTTGTCTGAGAAACAAAAGGTTATCTGTGCCTCTAGTGTTTTAATTAATCAAGCTTCTAATAATTGGAAACATCTCTGTAGGCATAATGAAATACCTCAATCTTGGAAAGACCTGAAACGATATTTGAGAGATGTTTATGTTCCCATGTATTATGCTGACATTTTGTTCAACAAACTGCAATGTCTAAAACAAGATACCAGAACTGTTACTTCATACTATCATGATATGCATGCTTATTTATTACGTTGTGGTTTAGATGAGTGCGAAGAAGCTACATAGTTGAGGTTTTTACGTGGGCTTAATAAAGAAATTCAGGACATGCTTGTTTGTCAAAGTTATAGCTCTTTTGCTCATTTGTTACAACTTGCTTGCCATGCGGAAAAACAAATTGAGGATGTGAACAAGAAACAAGTTGTGCACGTACCTCCTATTACTAATATTTTGCAGGAAGTGAACAACTGCAACAAGGAGGAGAGAGACATGAAAGAGCCGTTAGTCCCATTGTTCATACTCAAAGTCGAGGCACCTCCATCATATCCGGGGTTTCCGATTCCGAAAAAAATATGAAAACAAAAACGATAAAGATGGTTTCCGTCCGTTTCCGTACCATTTTCACACCTAGTCCCAGTTCCATATAAAAGGATACACCATTAAAATTATACCATCACCATAAAAATTAAAACATTAAAGTTAAATATGAATGCTGGGTGAAGCTAGTCATAGTCATCGAGACTTTCTTACCCTACTGCCTTGAATGATGGGTCTCTCATCGAGATATCCGTGCACGTGCTCCCTCGAGATCAACCTAGAGCACAATTTTTTTGGCTGGGTTTCGAGTCATGTGGTTGCTTGGTTCATACGCCGTTCGATCATCATCGTGTGGCTCTGGCAATCATCGATACAGGCAGCGCAATTGACCAATGGCAGACGTACTCAGCAAGGCCCACCATGGCAGGCGAATGGTTGACGAAAGAGCACGCAAGCAGGCGACCAAAAACACAAGCAGCTAATAAGTTGTTGCTTTGTTTTTGGGTGGGCGTGGTGTATGGCTCGCTCTCGCTGTTGCTGTGTACAGCCAGCCAGTGTTTGATGCACACAGTGATAGAATATGTCCATGCCGTTCCCTTGTCCTTGTGTGACAGCATTTTTTTTTTGTATATGGGTGGATTTTAATGGGTGCTTCGAAGACCACGTTTGTAGTGGAAGCACTGTGCGCCCACTCCACTACTGCAAGAGTATGCAAGATGCTATTGGCTGGATTACTCCTGGTCTTCTCAGTCATATCGTTCCTATACGGTGG